ATCTTTGCAAAAATAAAAGTAGTGGGTGAAATTGTTTGAAATTTGACAAAAAAATGAAATGTCTAAAATTTACAAATAGAAATATGTACATACCTTTCAACTCTTTTAATGAATCCCCTAAAATAGTTGTATTTTTCTCAATTTCACATCTTTTATTTTTTCTACTTTTTTTTTTTTTAAATTTGTCCTTCCAAATTCTTCATCTTCTATCATTTATATCAATGTGTCAACTGATGTCTGTGGGGCTTTAAGTTATTTCAGCAGACTCCTTGCAGAAAAGTGTTGCCTTATATATGCCATCTTAATTATGAGCTTTCACAATCCAGGCAACAAGATGAATATATTTTAAAAAATCATTAAACTGTTCAAATAAGATTTTAAAAATGCATAAAACAACATAATTAACTAAAATATAAAAGTAAGACCTAAATACAATATAACAGTCTCTTTAACTATAGCATATTTAGGTAAGAAACCACTGTAAGTGCTATAGTCAATCAAGCAGACAAAAATAGTAATGGCAGTTAAATCTACTTCAATATGAAAACTGCATGCCAATTTCAAATTAATCATTGGTAGAGTACAGTTTCAACTGAGCTTTTTCTAACAACTATATACACTTGTGTCAACTAACTACATGTACATTGTAAATCTCAAGGCACTTGTCTGTGGTTGGAAAATTGATAGAAGTTTCCCAGAAAACACAGCTACAGACTTTAAATATCACTGTTTCAGATAGTTCAAACTTGCATGCATTAGCATCTAGATACTTGTGTACATTGCTGGCTTATATGGCTAAGAGTGAACCACTACTAAAGTTTTGAATGTAATGCAGTAGCATACACAGAAAGGAATTTAACAGTGGTTTCTGAGGTTATAGTTAAGTAGTCTAAGAAATGCATTACCTGAAATCAGAAGAAAAGGAAATAGCTGAAAGTTAAAGAAAAGGTAGCTGAACATTGGCTGTGGTTTTCTTTAACATGCTAATTGAGTAAATGTTCAACAACCTCTATGACAGTAAGATCCCCAATTAGTAGTTCTTGGAAGTTCAATATGAATATATTGTATTATTATAGTGTTAAATTCCTTTTTGGTGCTTTTTTAATTTGTGAAATAAGACATTGTTCATGGTTAGTTTTATACTTGGAAAAATGTTGGCTTGTTCATTGAACCCTTTGGCTGCTGGTATTTTGAATTTCACTAAGCTTGCTTTTTTATTTATCAAGAACCATTATCTCGTGGTATTAAACTTGAAACTGATATTTCATCTCTGACATGTTTTGAAAAATAAATTTGATTCTTTTTTTTTAGTGAACTTGTATTTTTTAATATAATTATATAACATAGCTATTTACTGTGCTGTTAACTATGCACTCTGTTATAAGTAGGCCACTTTGTTGAAAGCAGTGGTTTAATACTTTACAGTTTTTTGTATTGAAGCTAATATAAACAGATAGTACTTATCTTACTATTTTATATATTACTTATGGCCTGTATATAACATATGTCAAGTTAAAACAAAAGTTACTGTACACAGAAAAAAGTACCAGGATAATTACTTAAAGATAAACCATACAGGGAGCTAAAGTTAAGTTGTTAAGAAATAAAAATGGATTTAATTGAATTTGAAAATTCATGTTATCACCAACTTCCAAAATTCACTGTTCATATAGCATTTGAGGTAAAAATAATCTTAAATTGTTGAAAATTACATATTTCTGACTGCAGTTTTTTCAAAAATTGCTAATGTGCAGGTGGAAAATTTAATGATTTTCAACATCTGAAGAAAATACCAATAGGAGGCAAAAAAATTAATTAGGACAATACTTTTTTAATTATTTTATCCAAAATGAGTATTAAAGCTTGCATGAAAAGAAAATTTTAAATCTTAATATTACAGTTATTGTATTTTGTGGAAAAGTTTTGGGTACATATTGCAATGTGACCAGGCTGGAAAGGGTTAATTTAATAGAAACATGGCGTTGTACAATGTTATCTATCATAAAATATCATTGACTGGCCTGACATTTTGTAATATTAAGTTCAGTTTTGTCCATCATCATACCAATAACCTTTTAACTTTTTCGAGAATTTGACTGCTAATGACTTGTATTTGTCCATTAGTGGTTTGGTTTGAATGATGGACTCTATATTTTAGGTGGAGGCTATTGAACTACCAGTTGACAAGATAAAAAATCAAAGAAGACAGTTTGCTTTCATAACTTTTGAGTCTGAAGACTCTGTAAAGGAAATAACTAAACAGCCAAAGCAGATGATAGGAAATAAGGAATGTGATGTGAAAAAAGCCACATCTAAACCAGATCCTCGATCCATGCGTGGTGGATTTATGGGTGGCTGGGGAGCTCCTCGTGGTGGAGTAGGAAGAGGACGTGGAAGAGGAGGTAAGATGTTATATTGTGTAGACTGTCAGCATCAAGTTCTGAGTAGAAGTTTGGGGAAAAAACTACTGTTCAGGCTGTTGTTTTTTCATGATACTGCTTAATGTATGGTTAAGTGTTCTAAACATCATTGTTTCAATGCAGGTTGCATCATATTAACCCTTTGTGTATGAATAGGTTAAAGTATGCATGTAAATACCTTTTTATAGTTGTATTTATTCTAATTAAACTAATATCAATGTATGCTAATTAACTTTGAATGTATCATTTGACACTTCCTTATTCTGAATTGCCCACTTAAAGACTTGCATCTCTATATTATTTTGATTTTCTGAAAACTTACACACTTGGGCATCCTGAATAAATATGAAAATTTACTCTTGCTTTAATGTGGCCTATTCTATAAACTGAAACTCAAATGTCACACCCCATGCTCGTTTTATAAATTTTAATAGTCACTGACATTTGCTGCTGTTCTACTTATCAGTAGAAAGGGAAGATGATAATTTACTCTTTTCCTTATTCTCGTGAGTGGTTTTAGGTTATTCTGCATCTTGTAATTTGACAAGCATACTGGTAACTTGATGCTATATTCACATAAAGCTTCTCTACCTTGATAATTAGCTTTTGCTGTAAGAATGTGTAATTTATGCAACATTAAGCAGTCATTTGAGAAAGAAAAGGGTAGTGTAGGTTTGCTTTTATTTTGTAGTGATTAAAAGGTTTGTCAAATGAACCAATCTCATACAGTGGTAGGGTAGAGAAAATAAGTTTTTACCAAGGGTTGTTCAAGATAACCAACCCCATATACAAAGGGTTAAAGAAAGACCAAGCTGTGATGCTTCTATATACAACATGAATGCATAAATGTAGTTTTCAATTATTACAAATGGCTATTTGCTAGCATTTTAATTTTGAAGTTGAACTATATGAAAGCTACTTCTGTGTAAATTAATTTGTACATTTGTTCTTGTGAAAAACATTTTTTGTTTCTTGCAGGTTACCAGACCCAGGAGTGGGGTGGTGATCAAGGATACGGAGGATATAATCAAGGCTATAGCAGCTACAATCCAGGATATGGTAACTACGACTACAGTGGCTATGGTGGTGATTATACTGGTGGATATGGAGGATATGACTACAGTGGATGGGGATATGGCCAAGGTTATGGTAAGTATTGAACTTATTTCAATGTTTATATACAACTTAAATCATGTAGATGCTTTTGACTTGTTTATTTCTATGCTGATTTATTGTTATTAAATATAACTATAACCCAGAAATGGGATCTGTTACAGGCCAGCAGGCTAGTGGCTATGGTAAGACACGGGGTGCTGGACGAGGAGGGACTGCTACCACCTTTTACCATCCTTATCGTTAGGATACTTTTTTTTGTCATGGAGTTATGATACAGAATTTGTGTTGTGTTGACATCATAGGCTCATGTGAACTTCATCTTCATGAATGGTCATCTGATGTATATATTTTGTGTTGAATAAAAAAAAAATTTTAATGTGAAATTATATTGCACGCCAGATTTTTTGTTGTTGTAGAAAGTGTAATTTATGTACCTTTAATGAACATCTTTATAGTTTACACTGTTATAAGAAAGGTTGACAGATTGATTTGGGTCAGTTCTCTTATTTATTGATTATTTTACAAATATTTTCATATGAAATTTTTGGAGGTTGACTTTGTAGTCATATACGAACATCTTTAGGCAGTCACAAAAATTACATTCTTTCAGTATCTCTATTAACATTACTCCTAAATATCAATTTTAGACTGGTTATTCTGTAGTTATTACTTAAATTTCAAATGAAAATAAATCAAACTGTTAACTAATTTAATCATTAACAGAATTGTTTACGGTGTATATACGTATACAATCTTGATTCAACACTTCTCTAAGCTGATGAGCAAAATTACAAAAATTATCATCAGGGTGGGGTTATAAAAATCAATGTATAGGACAATTCTAGTTGTAAGTATGGGACCATTTTCTGTGTACTGTTAATCTTCAACAGGTGTTCAGTACTGTGTTATATCTGTTTCTTTATCTAACTGTGCCATAATTTGTGTAACAATATTTATGAAGCTATAATTAGTATTGGATGATAGTTTTTCCATAGCATTGATTTAAAAAGTGACACCAGATGAGACTAGTTTTAAAATTTTAGGTAATGTGTTAAGGAGCCTTGTTACAATGAAAGCAATTCAGTATTTTACAAGTACTCGTTTTATTATACTAATTTTCTTAACTTTGTGGCATTACAAGTAACATTGAGTCTTTTGATATTTTATAAATGGTTGTGTATCATTATTTAATTTTGAGTAAAAACAAAACGCTACTAGTGTCGAAAAAACTATTAAACTATTTTGATGTTATATCAGTGAAGTTAAAACAAAAAAACAACGTTCTAACAAATCAACATGAATATTGAGCATTCAAATAAATACTATAGTTAGCCCAAGAACAATCACGTGATAGTTTTGTTGCTAAGTGATGATGTATGTTGTTGAGCATTACCAAAAAAAGGATCATGAAAACATTCTCAACAGTGGCAATAAGCCTTTTGTAGTTGGTGATTACATCATGATACCATACCAGATATTTTGCTCACATTTTTTAAGAGAGTATGCTGCATTCTGATTATTCAAAGTATACTTAATATTTGCAATCACGCTACTCGTATATCCTTTTACATGTCAATGTTAGCTGAATTTACTTTAATGAAATTGAAATGCAACATCGTTCTTTCTCTTGCACATAGTGAAATACGTTAATATAATTAACATGTGCTCTTTTATGTTCTCATGGATAACTTGCCTAGATGTGGATCTAATATACCTTTCAACAGTGAGGGCAGGAAGTTAAAACCAAAGATCAATACTTGAAATATCTTAAATACTGGGGTTCAAGATGAATGTAATTTGGACTTCTGAAAATTCTGTTTAATAACTTTTTCTTTACCTAAAACATTGATCAGTGGGATTTATTGTTTTTATATGTTTATTTAGTTCCTTTCAATATAACAAAATGAGAATTACACACTAACTTTACTTGTTTTATCTTTAGTTTATATAAGAATTTGACCAGTGAATAAAGATGTTGTCATTTCTAGAAACCAAGGACTTAAGCTATGGAAGTGAAATTTGAAAGTGCACCAAACTTGAAGGTATTTGGACTTGCAAAGCATGGTGTGGTTTTTAATGGGAAACTTCGAATTTACCCATAATGACTAGCACGAGTCACATGACTGACTATTCTCATGTAATATAGGAGAGGATGCAACCTCGAGATATCATACAGTCTACCATTCCATTGGAGCACACTAGCTTTCGTCTACATTCTTGCACAATGTGTAGCATTATACGCGTGCCTCTTTGTACAGAACTGGTATTATCTCCATACAATGACAGAGTAACAAAATCAGCTAGAACGAATTCAACTTAACGACTTTCTGGACCACGTTTTATGCGAAAACAGTATACAATCAGAATAAATGAAAACGTTTTGAAAACTTTTGCATCAAATTAAAACGGTGGAAAATGCATGGCATGCTTGCATATCAAACCGTTACATTCTTTTTTTTATAATTTCTCACTCATAGGTTCTTGTAGGGGTATTTGGCACACTGATACACATTTAAAAATCTTGTAGGGGTATTTGGCACACTGCTACACATTTAAAGATCTTATAGGGGTATTTGGCACACTGCTATACATTTAAAAATCTTGTAGGAGTATTTGGCACACTGTTACACATTTAAAGACAAAGGATAAAGTGTCAGATTACTTTCCTGTAACATTGGAATACATTTTAATCATCAATATATTTTGTTCCATCTGCGTTTCTTGCGGAGATCTACAACAAAAATGTTATTAAAACAAAATGAAGCCTATAACTGGACATTTTAAACTGTTTATCCAAACGTGTAAACACTAGTATATAAAGGACGTCCAACACTAAAATTTTATTGTTGTTTTCTCATTAAAGGTCGTTAATTCAAAAACGAATGTATACTAAATTAAACAACAGATACAAATCTACACTTCCAAGAAAAGTTCATTGGAAAATCTTAGTTAAATTAAATTATGTATTCAACATGAAAAGTATAGCTAAATTTACAGTTAAAGTCTAAAGTCAAACTTTTATATAAAAAAAAAACCTGCCAAGTAGAGGGAAACCTGACCTATAATAAATATATATATATAAAAAATACATTTAAGCTTTCTATTTTTGGTCATTGTGACTCATCTTTCCTCCACGTCCAAACTAAACTGAAAGAAAAGCAGGAATTTACATATTAATAAGGAAGTAGAAAACACATGGTACCATCCTTTACCATATTTCGTTTCCATTTCCCTCTAGGCTAACACAGTCATTATTAATTCTAAAACTAATAGAATACAAACTTTAATCATATCACTTAAGAAATGTATAACTCACCCCCTCTCTAGT